GAGAAAATCTAGGTGCTTTCTTTGACTGAGTTTCTAGCTAAAACATCCAAGGTATTATCTATGGGAGAAAAAAATTGAGAAGTTGGACTTCATTAATTTTAAAAACTTTCACTCTTCAAAAGACACTGTTAAGAGAATGAAAAGACAAAGCCACACACTGGAAGAAAGTATTTACAAAACTCATATCTGATAAAGGACTGTTATCCAACATCTACAAAGAATTCTTTAAAACTCAGCAATAAGCCGAAGCCGGTTTGGCTCAGTGGTAAAGCGTCGGTCTGCAAACTGAAAGGTCCCAGGTTCGATTCCGGTCAAGGGCATGTACCTTGGTTGTGGGCACATCCCCGGTGGGGGGTGTGCAAGAGGCAGCTGGTCGATGTTTCTCTCTCATCGACGTTTCTAGCTCTCTATCTCTCTCCCTTTCTCTCTGTTAAAAATCAATAAAAATATATTTTTTAAAAAAATAAATAAATAAATAAAACTCAGCAATAAGAACATGGACAACATAATTAAAAAAAAAAAAAAGCAAAAAATTGGAACAGCCACTTCACCAAAGAAGCTATACAAGTGGCAAATACGCATATAAAAAGATGCTGAGTATCATGTCATTAGGGAACTGCATATTACTGGGTTACAACTACCAACCTGTAAGAATATCTAAAATTTAAAAAACTGACAATACCAAGTGATGATGAGGCTAAGGATGTGGAACAAAAGGAACTCTCATTGATTACCAATGGGAATGTAGAATGTATGGCTACTCTGGAAGATGGTTTGACAGATCTTACAGATCTTAAACATAGTGTTAACATATGATCCAGCAATCATGCTCCTTGGTATCTAATCTACTGAGCTAAAAACTTAAGTCTACACAAAAACCAGCACATGAATTATTAAATATTTATTCATGATCACCAAAAATTGGAAGCAACCAAGATGTCTTTCAATGTGAAAGGATAAACAAACTGGTACATACATATATACAATGGAGTATTATTCTGAAATAAAAATAAATGAGCTCTCAAGCCACAAAAAGACATGACAGAACCTTAACTGCATATTGCTCAGTGAAAGAAGACAATCTTTAAGGCTATATACTGATTTCAACTACACATCATTCCAGAAAAGACAAATTACAGCAACAGTAACATTATCAGTGGTGGCCAGGATTTGAAAAAGAGATTTTTGGGGGAGCGAAACTATTCTGTATGATACTGTAATAGTAGGCACAAGTTATTATGCATTTGTCAAAACCAACAGAACTATACAATAGGAGTGACCTTAATGAAATAATGCAACTTAATTAATAATGTATTAATGATCCATTAATTGTATATATACCACACTAATGCAAGCTATTAATAATTGGGGTACTGTTCAAAGTGGGGTGTAGTTATACAGAATGCTCTGTACTTTATGATCAATTTTCCTATAGGCCTAAAACTACTAAAAAATAACCAACCTATTAATAACAACTTAAAAATGCAGATTATGAAATGGTATGTTATATGATCCCATTTTTTGTGATTATGTGCATAAAAATAAGTCTGGAAGGTGACAACCAAAACTGTTATCTTTAAAAACTTTGTCTTATCTAACTACTGGTATTGCTTAGCCAAAGAAAAATATGGAGACAAGAGGACAGAGACTTTATGGGAAATACTACTGTAGGTTTGGTTAGAATGGATCCACTAAAGATTAAAGTTATAAATACTGACAAGTGCAACTATTTCAAGTACAGACTTATATGAGCATCCTGTTAATTAATAGTACTTGAAAAGTGGCCCCATTTTTTAACAACTTTCTTTTTATGGGGTAATGATTTTTTTACTTTAAGCATTCTCAATCTATAGATTATTATAGACCCAGTGCACAAGTTCATGCATCAGTGGGATCCCTCGGCCTGGCCTGCGGGGATTGGACTGAAACAGCTTCTCTGACATCCCCCAAAGAGCCCCAGATTGTGACAGGGTGAAGGCCAGGCCAAGGTAGGGCTCCAGGGGCGGGGCCAGCTGACCTTCCACGGCCCATCCTCCCCCACCCCACTGCCAGCCAGCCCACACTCATGCACAAATTTGTGCACTGGGCCTCTAGTTATAAAATAGTTCCATTTTAGAGAATGTGGAACACTAGGAAATACAGATGTATTTTTCCCTAATTTGAGATGGAAAAAGTAGAGACTCTTCAAATTTCTTATTTCAATTTTCTTAAATACTACTTAAAAAAAAGTTAATTTCTGAAACTTTAGGGCACTTGCTGATTCCCTAAACAATTAAAATAATTTCATCATGCCGGGACCGGTTTGGCTCAATGGATAGAGCGTCGGCTTGGGGACTGAAGGGTCCCGGGTTCGATTCTGGTCAAAGGCATGTACCTTGGTTGCGGGCATATCCCCAGTAGGGGGTGTGCAAGAGGCAGCTGATAGATGACTCTCTCTCATCGATGTTTCTAACTCTCTATCTCTCTCCCTTCCTCTCTGTATAAAATCAATAAAATACATTTACAAAAAAAAAAAAATAATAATAATTTCATCATGATTTCAATTAAGCTTCGTGTTTAAGGTTAGAATGCAAACTTCCCTGAAGCAAAAACTGTAACAAATCCATGTTTAAAAACTCAATAACCAAAACAGAACCAAGGAAATGCCCTTTCATGGTACTGTTAAAGCAAAGGTATTTTTCTACATCTCAAATTACTTCTGTGAAGTGTGAAATTTTGAGATGGTTTTCATTTCTGAATTTAAAAGGCAATTATAATTAATGGGAAAGAAAAGGGGCGAATAGGTAGAAAAGACATCAGGCCCCCAAAGTGATGGAAAATTTGAAGAGGGTAGAATATGCTTTCCACGTGGAATACCAATATTTGATGAATATTCATTATCTACCAATTTAAAACCATCATTCCAAGGGGATTAAGATCAGGACTAGGACCTTTATTTGAAGATTCAGGTTCCAATTTAGGTCCCTAGAATTAGTTGTCTCAGACTGAGAGAGCTTTTATTTAAAATAATTCTTTATGAAAAGATTTTCAAATTGTCTTATGGTGTTTTTTTGGTTTTTTTTTTATGTGTTTTTAAAGTTATTTCTACAGTTTTATTTTTATTTTGTAGAAAAGCAAGGAAGAATTTATTGACCACAGCAAAAAGCTATTTAGGACAGTGAAACAAGGAAGGGCATAGAAGAAGCAACAGGAGAGTCTAGGCTGGGCTGCTTTAGCTCACTGAGAAGTCAGAGAAAAGGGGGCTTTGGAGACAGGCTCAGGGGGTTAGCCTGGAATGAGCTGCCACTGCCATTGCTACCCTGGATGCAAGTCTATGTGCCTGTGGGGGAATGGCACCAGTGTACTCCTAGGAGGGAGAGCATGACTACAGTTTATGTAAAATATTTTGTCCTCAATTCAGAACATTTAAAAAAAGATAACTCAGATACCATTTAAGGCTCTAAAAATATAGGAGGGAGGGAGGGAGGGAGCTAGCTGATGATTGCTGACCACCCCTGCATGCCAGGAACTGTCCCATGAAGCTCACTTAAGACCACATCTATTTAACACCACATTTTAGCGACTTAATGCAGACCAGGCACCTAACAAATGTGTGCTGAGTGATTAGCAAATAATACAACTCATACAACCGAGAATTTAACAGAAGTGACGTCTTAATTCCCGTGAATAATCTTCCTCGATATATGAGGGTGCGGTGGGGAAACCTACTTCCAAGGCAAATCCACCAACATTTTAATGTAGGCATTTTACAGCATACTAAATGACTTCCTTATCCTATTATAAATTCTTTTCTTAATGAAAAACATACCTATTTCAATTAATGCTTTATAATACCTTCACATAAACTAGGATACAAAAATCTAGTTTAGTGTTATAGCTCTTAGAATTCTCCCTTACTGTAAACCCAGGGAACTGCTACACAGAAGATAACTAAGATCTCCTTAGCACTGCATCTGAAATTTTCCCAGGCTTTGCCTAACATAGGTATTTCATCCTTTTATATGGTTCCACCACAAGCCAACGTTGATGTGCCTATTCCTAGGCCTTTTACTATGCAATTGTTTTTGGAAGCCAATGTTTAAAATCCTTAAAAATTGCAAGACAGTTACTTGATCCAAACTCCTCCTCCTCCTCCTCTCAGGACCTTGGGACAATTTCATGACCTTGCAGGGTTACTGCTTCAGCATAATGGTTGCAAGATCCTATAAGGTGTCTTTCTCTTGCTCGCCAACAGACAGATTTTTTTAAAGGTCCCTTTTGCACCCAAACTACCACCGGCCCAAGGAGGCACTTATTTGGTTCACCAGCGCCCAGCAAAGCGCCTGCTACGAGGCAGGTGCTTCATAAACGTCTGGCTGAATCGGACAGCCCTTAAAGGGTCACTCCGCTCTACACTGGCCATGCAAACTCTCTCCAACACCGGGGAGTTCTAAAAGGCGTCAAGGACGGAAAGAACACCTTAATCTTCCCCTGGACCTCACCTTGGATGCTCCCTTCCCCCTCACGTTGTGGGCCCAGGTCAAGGCTGCACGATATTCGTGGCCTGGCACCAAGCGGGAGCTCCGCAAATACTGGTTAGCGGAATGAATACAATACCGCTCAGAAGTTTACTGGGACTAAGGCCTCAATCCCCGAAATTAACTCGGACTAAGGTCACAACTCCTCGTGCGCCCTCCCCCCCTCCTCCCGCCCCACTCCGCCCCGGGAGACGTGGCGTAACCTTGCGGTCTCTCCGGCCCCTTCACGTGCCCTTCTCGGACTCGAGGCGCTTCCTGCACCCCGGGGCCCCGGAGCCTCCAGGGACCGAGGCCTCCAGGGACCAGGGTCCCGGCCGGCCTGCGACCCCAGTTTTGTCCCACACGCCTCCACCCGCGTCCTCCTTCTGGAGTCCTTCCAACCCGTGCAACCCTTGCAACCCTCCCATTTCCTACCGCAAACTGCCATACCATTGCGGCTGCACGGCCCAGGCCGAGACCCCCACGACGCCCGCCCGAGAAAACATGGTGGTACTGGCCCCGCTGAAGGTCGGTCAGACAGGCCTCGCCGCGCATGCGCGGGAGCTCCCCACGCCCCTTCCCGCCCCACTTCCTTCCTCAGTCTCGTTTCCTGATGCCGAACGGAGGCAAACCTCGCGAGCTTTCAGGGCCCAGCCTTCCGAGGCCCCACCTTCCTCCGGCGCCGGGCTGGTATTTGTCCCGCCCACTCCTATCGGCTCCATTCCGCTTCCGGTTGTCTGGGCTCTGGGTTCCCGAGGGATATTGCTGCGGTGGTCGCGATGGGAAAGTCAGATTTTCTTACCCCGAAGGCCATTGCCAACAGGATCAAATCCAAGGGCCTTCAGAAGCTGCGCTGGTATTGCCAGATGTGCCAGAAGCAGTGTCGGGACGAGGTGAGCGGCCCCGGGCTGGCCCGCCATGCCCCGTCCTCTCTCTTGTCTGGGTCCAGCTGGAAATCCGGGCTCCAGCCCCTGATGCTGAAAGGGGAGGCGTGGAACTCAGGTCCCTAGTCCTGGGGTCTGTACTGGGCGAGTCAGCTAGTCCACACAGTAGGGACCCTTCCCTGCAGCCCCCGTCCTGGTGGGAACCAATAGTCTTTGACGCCTCTTTCTACCTAATCTGCCCCCAAAGAAATGGGAAATAAAAGATTTTGCAGCTCTGAGCTTGAACAGTTAAATGCCAAGCGCCTCGGTAATAGCAATAACAATCATCTCTGACTTGACCTGGCTCTTAAGAGAAACACAATTATTAGGACTCACATCTTTTTTCAGGATCAGATGAGAAAGAAGAAATAAATTCCTGCACACTACTTACCTAACAATAATTTATTGAGCAGCTACTATGAGATGTGGACCAGGGTCAGACAGTCAGAATTATGAAGCCTTTGCTGCATCACTTAATTGCTGTGTGGCCTTGGGCAAGTAACTTACGTTCTCTCTGCCTGTTTACTTATCTGTAAAATGGGAACGGTAATTATACCTACTGTACTTGTAAGATTGTCGTGAATTTTAAATGAGTGAAATATCTTTAAAGTGACTCTGGGGGTGAGGGAAGTAGTCTTTGGTCAGATCTTGAAAAGCTTTGTGTGCTGTGCTATGGAGTTGACACTTTTTCACATTAATGAGATGGATGATGAATGCGTCGCCTTGAAGAATTGAGAACAGGCTAGTAGTGATGTGATCATATTTTTCTATGGCGATTTAATTGGGTAAGGATGGGAGAAGACTAGGCAATTCTGTGTGAGGGATGAGATATTTTAAGTGGGACTCATATTGAGTAACATTGATACTGTTATTTGTTTTAATTTCTCTTTAGTCCTTTCTAATCGAGTCAAAGTTGGAATTCTCACACAGAAAACTAGAGACTAGTACATTGAACATCCATATATCCATTACCCAGATTTAACATTTTAAGTATTTTGTCATATTTACTTTTCCCTGAAATGTTTTAAAGTAATGTATAAACTTAAGGATATTTCACCTCTAAATACTTAAATATGCATTTCTAAAATATCAGGATATTTTTCCATAGAGCCATAATATATGTCATCACACATAACAAAATTAATAGAAATTCTTTCATGTCATCTGATACACACTACAAACCCACATTTTCTCATTTGTTCCCCCAATTGCTTTTAAAGCAATTAAAAAAACAAGATCAAATCAAAAGCATGAATTGGATTTGGTTATTAGGGCTTAAAAAAATAAACTTTATTTTTCAAGCAGTTTTACATTGACATGTCATTATCACCAAAATCCATAGTTTACATTAGTATTCACTCTTGGTATTGGACATTCTAAGGGTTTGGACAAAAGTCTAATGACACATATCCACCAGTGATATGATACTGAGTGGTTTCACTGCCCTAAAAATCTCTGCTCCAGGTTATTAGGACTTTCAATTCTCCCTAAATTCTCAAATTACAGTACGATACACTTCCTCCACCCTTTCCTTCCACTTCCCTCCTTTTTTTCTTACCATTGACTTGAAGATACTATGTCAGTTATCAGAACATTGACACTTTCTGGATATGTTAAATTGTTTCCATTAATTGTCATTTACCTTCTTTCTCTGACTCTTGTAATTATTGATCTAACGACCTGATTAGGTTCAAATATTTTGGGACAAATACTTTATAGGTGATTCAATATATTTCATATTGCATTATATAAGGAAGCCCATATGTCTAGTAGTGCTAAGATGATCATGTAAAGATCACAGCTTGAAAAATAATATTTTAGAAAATATTAGAAAGTAATATTTTCCCTCTTGCAAGAGCATGCAACTAGTAGGGTGATACTTTGGAATCATGACCATAAATCTAGTTTTCCTTTCACTTGTGTGTTTTAGCTTCTTTGTCTGTCTGAGTCAATTATTTCATTAGGGGTTGCAGAGCGGTTATTTTTCTAATTCTTTTTACATTTATTATTGGCTGCTACTCATTTATAAAAATAAGCCAGGGCTATTCAATTATTTTCAAATGTTATCCTAAAATACAGTTCCAATAGGAAAAGGAAAGTAAATGCTTAATACTTTCATTTAAGGCATTTGTGGTGATTCAGGTCTGTTTGCCCCCAGATCTGTTTATTTCCCTTCCCAACCCTGGAGGACAGCCTTGGGGAGGAGAGGTTGACCCTAATAAGTTTCTGCCTCTGTCTTCATCTCTCGGTATTGGAAGATTGAGAGCGAGAAAGGTCAGGCCCAGAGTATTCCATTCCTACCTATCCACTCCCTTGGGTTTCCTTGAAACTAGCCTAGTCAAGATTTAGTGTTGAAATCAGGATAGTGGCAATGGGAATGAGCAGAGGGACTGGATAAGAGTTATTAAGAAAGCTGACTGGGCTTAGTGATTTGTGGGATGAAAGAGAAGGACACTAGAATGCCAGCCTTGGTCTTGACTGGGTGTGATACCTCCTATTCACTGAGGTAGGGGTTACAGGAGGAGAGGCACATTTTTCATTTCTATTACTGGTGAAGAATCAGGTTCAAATGCTCTTTAGAACAGATACAAAGTCAAAATGTATTTCTGTATACACTGAGTGGCCAGATTATTATGATCTCTGAACGCAAATATAATATAATGTAATGTAATGTAATATATATGTATATATATTAGAGGCCTGGTGCATGGATGTATATGGGTGGGGTCCAGCCAGCCTGGCCAGGGGGAGAGGACATGGGCAGTGGGCCGGCCTGCCTGCTGGTTGAACTCCTGGCCAACGGGACAATTTGCATATTAGCCTTTTATTATATTATATGAGTAATCCTTTCAAACTGTTTAGAAGAGTACCTAGTACTCAATAATAATCAGAGATCATAATAATCTGGCCACTCAGTGTATATAAAAGCCTAAGTGACCATCCAACCAGTTGTTATAACACGCACTGACCACCATGGGGCAGACTCTCAATGCAGGAGCTGCCAAGCAACAGCAACTTTGTAGAGTGCCCTCTTGCACTCTGGGACCCCTTGGGGGATGTTGGACTTCTGGTTTCGGGTCAATCCCCGCAGGCTAGGCTGAGGGACCCCACCTGCCAAAGGGACCCTGCTCACAGCACAGATGCCTTTTGAGCCCCAGCACCGCCCCAGGTGCAGCTGGCAGGGGAGGGACTGCGGGAGGTTGGCTCCAGTGGGTGTCTGTCCCACCTTGCCCAGGCTTGCCCTACTGGCCACCTTTTAATTTATTAATTTCCACCACCCATATTAATTTCCTTTCAATGTGCACTGGGCCTCTAATATTTTTATAATCAGCTGAGCAGATATAGATTTAGTGTGTTTAATATAAGGTTTATGTAATATGCAACAATGTATTTTGGATAATAGCTGAAGTAGAGAAAAGATGGTGAAAAATAGTGTCCTTACTGGAAATTAATGGCCCATTTTATTTCCTTATATTCCTCAAAGCACTTGTATAACACACACTCTGTGTGCAATAGGTACTCAACAGTAATTTGTTAAATTGACACACAAAAAATGAAATCACTCCTATTTTACTGTGCATAGAAGTGTTTCTTACTAATGTTTTCTAAAGCACTATTTTTTTTTTTTTTGTCTCTTTAATACCTGGAATTATTCTTTGATTAGCAGGGTTGTAAAACTCAGCTTGGTAATTTGGCTAGTGATTTTATTACTTTTTACAGTCTATCATCAAAGAGCAACTTTTTAGAGTTTAATTAAATACTTCTACTTAGGCTCCATTATGATGACCTAAATCAGAATTTAACTACTCCCTTTACATTTTTGTAGAATGGCTTTAAGTGTCATTGTATGTCCGAATCTCATCAGAGACAACTATTGCTGGCTTCAGAAAATCCTCAGCAGTTTATGGATTATTTTTCAGAGTAAGTAACTCAAAGACATTCTTATCTCATAAACCTCATTCAGTTGGACATTTTATAGATGATTAATATTTTATGTACGGAAGGCTCTGTTTATCCTTGCATATTAACATGATAGTTATATTTGTGCTCAGTTTCTGTCTTCCTTGTACAATTTATCATAGTATGAAATTATTTAAAAAATATTCCTCACAGTTCAGTGTTTCTTTTTATTCACTTCAAACAAACAAAACTATCTTTTCTTTTAAAAGTGTGGCTAAGAGCACAGCTCTAGAGTAAGATTGCCTGACTTGAAATTCTTTAAATCCACTCATGAGCTATGTGAGTAGTGAATTACTTAAGTTTTTTTTGGCTTTAATCTCATTTCTAAAATGAGACTAAAGATAGTCCCCTCGTCCAGGTATTGTTTCTTCTTCTTAGGGTTTATATGAGTCTATCTGAGTAATACTTTCAAATTGTTTAGAAGAGTACCTAGTACTCAATAATATTAGCTATTAATTACTAATATTTAGTCTTGCTTCTCTCCATCTCTTTTTTTCTAAAGTTGTAGGTCTTTTGATTTTAGGACTGTCTTGAATGCCACCAGGGTACTTACAGTGCACTTTGGGAAATAACATTCTGGCAGGAGCCATCTACACTCAGTGCTTTCCTTGCCCCCTCCCTCCCATTCAGTCCATCCACCACAGCGCCTTTTGCCTCTGTTAGACTCCTGAAGAGTCACTCATGCTTTTTTCCATCTTCCTTTTCCTTGATCTTTCTTCAATGGATTAAATCTTAACTCTCAATTGAAACATCTCTCTGATTTATATTCTTCCCTGGTTTTCCTCCTACCACTCCCTCTGCTCACTCTCTTCACTAACTCCTCTTCCTCTCCCAGCTCCTCAAATGTAGAAAGTCCTCCAGGTGCCCGCTTGGCTTCTTTTCACCCCATTCTACAGTCTTCATGAGTTACATTACTCTTCTGTTACCTTTATGATTGGATAAACATAAATTCCTAAGTCTGAATGTTCATTCATAAACATCTATCTTGAGTTATAGATTTTTTTTTTTGGGGGGGGCAATTCTAATCTGTATTTCTGAGGGCCATTTCAGAGCCAACATTTCTAAAGCTGGACATAGGATTCTCCCCTCTCCCCCTCACCTACTGGTTATTCTTTGCTGGCTAAAAACTGCCTGTGCAGACTGCCAAGCTGCAAACCTAGCATTCTCTGGAAATACTTTCCTGTGGATTCTCCCTTACAATGGCCTTTAAATGTATTTTTTCTATTCTCACAGTCACAGAAATCATCCTCATTGTCTCCACCTAAAAGATTTCAGTGACTTCCTCACTGGTTTCCTGGCCTGCAGCTTCTGATCCTCTTGAATTAGTACCTGTTCTCTGCCTGTGGTTCACAAACCAGTGCCCAATCAGAATCACCTTGAGGGCTTGTGAAGACAGAATGGCAGACTCCATACCCCTTTCTGATTCAGTAGATCTGGGATGGGGCTGTAGACATTGCATTTCTATAAAGTGTCCAGGTGACATTAATGCTGTTGGTCTAGGGACCAGACTATGAGAACTATTGTATATGCTCCAACAGCATTATCTTTCTAAGTCACAGATTGTCACAAGTTAGCTAAGTAAATTATTTTATGCTTTTCCATTGTCTGCATAAACCCAACCTCTATAGCATGACCATCAAGGTACTTCAAAAATTAGCTCTAATATTATAGTCCAGCTACTAGGTACATCTTCTTCTTATTGTTCTGTCTTCAATGTTAGCCAAATTCAATTGTCATTTCTCAAACATGTGATTCTTTCATCTTTCATTTCTCTGTGCCAGTTGGGAATGGCCTTCTCTTCTTCACCTGTAAAAGTCCTATTTACACTTCACCACCCATATTACAAATCACCACTAGGCACCTCTGGATATCTCCCTTAATTCTTCCTATGACATTTTGTTACATCTCTTTTTCAACTTGACTTTTGTTATGATTGGGTCTGCTAAATTATAACTGAGGTAAAGATTCATGTTTTATTCACCTATGTTTATCTAGCACTTAACACAGTGAGCTCAGTTCAAAGGGACACATTGAGTGCCAGTTTCTTATGAAATAAGGGCAGTTTTGTTATCAATAGACAAGGGTTGTTATGCCACAGTCAATAGTGCTAAGAGATTTCATGAAGGACCCTCCCCAAAAACGTGTAGTCACTTTTGCTACAACTCCAAACTGACTTTTAACTTGAATTCTTGAAAACTATAATCTTTGGGGATTCTTTCCTTGTTCATTTTTAAAAGATTCATAACAAATAAATATTCAACAAATGTTTCATATATCTTTTGAGAATTCAAACTGGCTTAAATTTCAGGAAGATAATGTTATGTATTTATAGAAAATACTTTAATGCTTTCCTTTCTTTCTTAATTAGGGAATTCCGAAATGACTTTCTAGAACTTCTCAGGAGACGATTTGGTAAGCATTTTATGTATTATGCACAGAAAACTTTCTGGTCTATAACCTGCTCAGGATCATAGTTTCACATTTTGTTTTTAGGCACTAAGAGAGTTCACAACAACATTGTTTATAATGAATATATCAGCCACCGAGAACACATCCACATGAATGCCACTCAGTGGGAAACTCTGACTGACTTTACCAAATGGCTGGGCAGAGAAGGTAAGAATGAGACATCCTATCTAATAAAAGAGTAATATGCATATTGGCCATCACTCCAACACACAAGATGGCTGCCCCCATGTGATCAGAGATGGCTGCCCCCATGTGGACACAAGATAGCTGTCACAAGATGGCCAGCAAGGGAGGGCAGTTGAGAGGGACCAAGCCTGCAAGGAAGGGCAATCTGGGGCAGTCAAGCCTGTAGAGGAGGGCAGTTAGGGATGACCAGATCAGCAGAAGAGGGAAGTTGGGGGTGATTGGGCCTGTGGGGAAGGGCAGTTTGGGGGGACCCAGACCTGCAGGGAAAAACAGTTCAAGGGGGGCAGGCTTGCAGGGAAGGGCAGTTAGGGGTGACCAACCTACAGGGAAGGCAGTTAGGGGTGACCAGGCCTTCAGGGAGGGCAGTTAGGAGTGACCAGGCCTACAGGAGAGTGCACTTAGGGACAGTCAGGCTGGCAGGGGAGCAGATAGGCACCAATCAGGCTGGCAGGGCAGTGGTTAGGGGGTGATCAGGCTGGTAGGTAGAAGAGGTTAGGGCAATTAGGAAGTTAGGCAGGCGAGCAGTTGGGAGCCAGCAATTCTGAATTGTGAGAGGGATGTCTGACAGTCGAACATCCCTCGAGGGGTCCCAGATTGGAGAGGGTGCAGGCTGGGCTGAGGGACACACCCCTTTCCCCATGCACAAATTTAGTGCACCGGGCCTCTAGTATTTAAATAATAGCAGTTATGTGGCTCCATTTCAGGGAGAGAGAGAGTGTCATAGTTTCTATATAAATTTATTGGAAAGAGGATGAGTAAGGTAATTTAAAAAATGTGGATCCTGTCCCATATACCAAAAGGTAATGGGTTCAATTCCCAGTCAGGTCAGGGCACATGTCCAGAGTGCTGGTTCGGTCCCCAGTCAGGGTGCATATGATGTTTCTCTCTCACGTTGATGTTTCTCTTTCTCCTTCTCTCTTTCTCTCTCTCAAATCAATAAAAACATACAAAAAAATTTAAAACAAAACAAAAAGACTGTGGAGTCCTAGCTGATGTAGCTCAGTTGGTTAGAGCATCGTCCCATACAGCTGAGGGTAGAGGGTTCAATTCCAAGTCAATGGTTCAATCCTGGGTCGAGTGTTCAATTCAGGTCAGAGCAAGTACTGGAGGCAACTAATGTTTCTCACATTGATGTTTCTCTCTCACTTTTTCCTCTCTTCTTTCTCTAGAATCAATGAAAAACATATCCTTGGGCGAGGATTAAAAAACAAAATGGGGAGAGAAGCATAATATTCCAGGGTTGATTTTTGTATATTGCAGTTAAATATAAATGTCTGAAATCACTCGTTTGACAGTGCCAAGATTTATCACTGAAGCAACTTCTCATTTATATTAAGGATCATTATCAATCCTCTTCCATTTTTGCCCCCCGTATTCATTTCACTTTAGGAATCTTCTTATCCCTCTTAAGTAGATTTTTTAAATGTATTGCTTTATTCATTTTTAATCTCATAGGATGAAAAGTTGGGGAGAAGAAAAGAAGGGAAATTTTGTGTCAATGTATTACCTATTCAATGTCTTAATTACTCAGTGTGCTATTTTATTTCATTTTAGGGGAATAATTTCACTTAGTTACATTAACAAAATATCATGTACTCATTGAATGTTAGACACACACAGTTGATTAATTGCCAAGCAAGATAATACTTTCATGTTTAAATATGTTTCCTCAACCTAGGTGGCTAAAAATCAAAATAGTAATTTATGTTCAAAGACAGAGACTATTCCACTTGAAATACATAAATCTCATTAATTATAAGTATGGAAAATTCATGTACTGCAAGAATTTCTATATTTGAATGAATGTGTAAATTATGCAAAGATAGAACATTTATATTTACCTTCAGCTTTAATTATGTGCAAATTTATTATATCTGTGTGTTTTTTTAAGGCTTGTGCAAAGTAGATGAGACACCTAAAGGCTGGTACATTCAGTACATAGACAGGGACCCAGAAACTATCCGCCGGCAACTGGAACTAGAGAAAAAGAAGAAGCAGGACCTTGATGATGAAGAAAAAACTGCTAAATTTATTGAAGAACAAGTGAGAAGAGGTCTGGAAGGGAAAGAACAGGTGGGTACGGTATTATTGAGAGAGGCAATAGAAAGAAGCAAAATTGCTTGTTTTGTTAAGTATTCAATTGAGTTTTGTAAGTATTGTGCCTTAAGTAGGAGGAGAAAGATCATGGCTGAATTTATTGTAAAAGCCCAGGTTTTGGAGTTGAGACAAACCTGGGTCAATTCCTGACTTACTGACTACTCAATCTTATGTAATTGTATAATCTTCTAAACCTCAGTGTTCATAGCTCTCAAAAGAGGCAGTAGTTAATCAGAAAGAAATAAGCAGATAATTTCTCCTGATTGTAATTAATGCAGGGCTGGAGATAAACTGTGTGGGAGAGTGAGGAGCCAGAGCTTGCTCCAGCCTGGAGAGGACATAAAATATTTGAGGGTAAATACAATTCCTGGGTTGAGAAGTCTTAAAGAATGGGCAACACCAGAGTAAATGGGGAGGGTGGGCAGGCATGGTGATGGTTCAGGGGTTAGAATAAGTAGATCAAGGCATTTATTTCTAAATTATTTATTGGATACCTCCTACGTGCCAGGCACTCTTATAGACATGGGGTATACAACAGAGAACAAAAGAAAAAAAATCCAATAAAATAATTCTTAATTGGAGAATATTTATAACACATATAATTTCTTAATTATGTTAGAGTTGTATCTTAGAGCAACATTGCAACATAGGTAGAGTACTATCATGTTAGAGTTGTATCTTAGAGCAACATTGCAACATAGGTAGCAAGTACTAATATAGGAGTATTGAATATTGTTAGTAAATGCTTTGTGAACCAATCTTCAAATTGTTTTTCTCCCCAAGGAAGCCCCTGTTTTTACAGAATTAAGCAGAGAAAATGATGAAGAGAAAGGTAATTTTACTTGTTTTTCTTTTATTAATGTGGATGCTTTTGCATTGGATCTGCTAAAAGTTGGCATGTTTGGAAGCAAGATGCAATCTGTCAGGATTGCATTGTTCTCATTTATAAAAAGGCATTACTGATGAATTTGATGGGATGCCCTCAGCTACAAATAAAAACAAAACTGGCAAATAACAAATTAGCTTAAACAATAAGGAACTATTTTGTCATATCAAGAGTTCCACAGGTAGGGTAGTGCAGGATGCTGAACTATCAGCAGCTGGACAAGAGGTGGCTGCTGGCACTTCTGGCCATCATATGCAGACCCAGCATTGTCCCGAGGATGACAGACAGAGCATCTCTCCAGGAGTTCCTTATGAGCAGATACTCCTCCCGCCAGTGGACTTCTTTTTGGATGTCATTGATCACATGTCCACCTAAAGAACCGTCACAGGGAAGGGAATGGGATTGTTTTGATTTATTTATACCAAAACACCCTTACCAATCACCTCCCAAGGGTCCCACCTTGTAATCCTGATGCCTTCGGCATTCCCTTTTCAGCTAATTTAAGTATGAATTTTGGGAGATACAAACATTCAGACCATTGCACCCTTTTAGCCATGTTTGAGAGGTATGGACACTTAAACAAAATTGAATTCCTGTTAGTGAAGAGAGGGAAGCAGCAGAGTAGAAAGGCAGTGCAGGCTGTCTGCTAAGTCCTTGATCATGAAGGTCTTTCCCAGCCCTGTGAGCATCCATCCAGCATATTCTACAGGAATTTATTCCAGCTCTCATTTATTCAAAATGCCCATGGAAAACAACAAAAACAAAATGCCCGTGAATTTCTGTGTGGATATATTGTGGTATCTGATAATTTTTATTATCATTTTCCTAAAATATGCAATACCAATTTTTTTCTCCTAGTGGCATTTAATTTGAATAAAGGAGCATGTAGTTCGACAGCAACATCTTCCAAGTCAAGGTAAGTTGCTTGAACAGGTATCTTAGAAATTGAGAATTTCTGTGAAATATTGATGACTACATTTTAAAAGCTGCAGTATTAAAAGAAAGAAAAGAAAGAAAGAAAAACTGCAGTATTATAAATTATTTTTTTCTGGTTGTACTTTTTGTTTTTTGCTTGATGGTTGGTTTGCTTGACAGTGTGATTAGCAGCTGTTTTTTTCCATACACTTGCCTGTCATAAGATGACTGTCTTTTGAGGAAAGGGTTTTTTTATTAAAGGCTTCGCATGGATAAACTATTACTTCTCCATGCATCCTCCGCCACTTAATGGTTCCTCTGCTACTGCAATATTGTTTATTTTTCTATCATAGTCCATTTAGCAAATTTAAATGTTAGCCAGGGTATACATTTTTTGCTTTACCTGCTGTGTTACAGTCTTCTGAGAATAGAGACTACATTATTGAGTCATCTCCTTGGTATACCACCTAGTACAGTATAAATGCACTAGTGGTCACTCAGTAAGAATTGCCTTCTCTTCTAGATGGTATAATATAGGCAGGAGTCCACAAACTTTTCTGTAAAGGGCCACATAGTTAATACTTAAGTCATTGTTGGTCATCCTATCTATGCAAATTAACCATCACTCTACCACACCCATAAGCCACACCCACCAGCCAATCAGGAGTGAGTATGCCAATTAACCCAATCAAGTTGGCTGTGGCCATGGAGCGAGCAGGAGGCGTGGGTTTCTCCAGAAATGGAGGAAGCCAAGCTTTCTGCACATCCTGGCAGGTCCAGGCCTTCACTAAAGGCTACAAAGTTTAAAAAAATTTTTTTTTTTTTTTATATTTTATTTATTTTTTACAGAGAGGAAGGGAGAGAGATAGAGAGCTAGAAACGTCGATGAGAGAAAAAACCAGCTGCCTCTTGCACACCCCCTACTGGGGATGTGCCCACAACCAACGTACATGCCCTTGACCGGAATCGAACCTGGGACCTTTCAGTCCGCAGACTGACGCTCTACCGCTGAGCCAAACCGGTTTCAGCCAAAGTTTTTAATTATAGAAGAGAACTAAATCTCTGCAGAGCTGGAGAGAGCAGGAGGCTTGAGTTGCCCCCAGCGATGGAGGAGGCCAAGTTTCTGCAGCCCTAGCCAGCCTTGGCCTCTGCTTAAGGCTAAAAAGTTTCAATTATAAAAAATAAATAAATCTCAGATTCCAGGGCTTCCACTTGGGTCACCAGGGGGCATGGTTGGTCTGCAAACTACCACAGGCCCCTAGCCCAGGCCACCCCATGCCCTAAGTGAACCTCCACCCTAATCTAGGACACCCTTCAGGGTAAACCAACTGGCCCCCACCCATGCATCAGGCCTCTATCCTATCTAATAATACTGTCTAATAAAAGAGTAATATGCAAATTGATCATCATCTAACACAAAAGATGGCTTCCCCCATGAGGACACAAGATGGCGACAGGGGAGGGTAGTTGGGAGGAACCAGGCCTGCAAGGGAGGGCAGTTGTGGACTATCAGGCCAGCAGGGGAGGGCAGTTGGGAGGGACCAGCCTGAAAGGGAGGACAGTTGGGGACAATCAAGCCTGCAGAGGAGGGCAGTTAGGGGTGACCAGTCTGGCAGAAGAGGGAAGTTGGGTGCGACCAGGCCTGCAGGAGAGGGCAGTTGGGGGGGGACCCAGGCCTGCAGGGGAGAGCAGTTATGGGAGACCAGGCTTGCAGGGGAAGGCAGGGGGATGACCAGGCCTGCAGGGGAGGGCAGTTATGGGAGACCAGGCTTGCAGGGGAAGGCAGGGGGATGACCAGGCCTCCAGGGGAGAGCAGTTATGGGAGACCAGGCTTGCAGGGGAAGGCAGGGGGATGACCAGGCCTGCAGGGGAGGGCAGTTAGGGGCAAACAGGCTGGCAGGAGTGCAGTTAGGCATCAATCAGGCTGGCAGGAGAGTGGTTAGAGGGTGATCAGGCTGGCAGGCAGAAGCGGTTAGGGGCAGTCAGGAAGGCAGGTAGGCGAATAGTTGGTAGCCAGCAGTCCCAAATTGTGAGAGGGATGTTCGACTGCCTGTTTATGCCCGATCCTACCAGGATATGTCTTTGTCACAAACATTTAACTGCTGTCAGAGTAAGAAAGCAAAAACATAGGCAATATGTAAACGAATGAGAATGCTGTGTTCCAGTAACATCATATTTGTAAAGTTAGGCCGCAGGCTGGATTTTGTCCTTAGGCTGCAGTTTGCCAAACCCTGATATAGCATGTAGTCAGGTACTTATCATTTTTCATGTTCTTTTCTAGTTATACTAGAGACTCTGTGCATAAATTTTTGCACCAGTGGGGTCCCTCATCCTGGCCTGCGGGATTGGGTTGAAACTGGCTCTCAGACATCCCCTGAGGGGTCCTGGATTGTGAGAGGTCACTGGCCAGGCTGAGAGACCCCACCAGTGCACTATCAGGGCTGGGGAGGATTGCAGGAGGTTGGCTAGTATGCCGTGCCAGCACAGCTAAGGGTTTGGCAAGCCTGAGGAGGGCTGGTGAAGGATGAAGAAAAGACAGACAGAATAAGCCAGGTCTAGGTGGATCTTCTGTGCCTGGCTGAGACCACAGAAAAGATACAGACTGCAAGCTGAGCCTTTATTTTATAGTCAGAGGTAAAGAAGGTAATTTACAATGTTCTTGTAAGGGCATGGCTCAGTTAATAGCTAATTGTTTATAATGGCCAGTGAACATAAAAATCAGAGATAGTACTCTGGGGTCAGTGATGACAATTTCATATCGGCATTAAAGAAAAAATTAAAATCGCCCTAACTGGTTTGGTTCAGTGGATAAGAGTGTCGGCCTGTGGACTGAAGGGTCCCACGTTCAATTCAGGTCAAGGGCATGTACCTTGGTTGCAAGCACATCCCCAGAAGGGGGTGTGCAGGAAGCAGCTGATCGATGTTTCTAACTCCCTATTGCTCTCCCTTCCTCTCTGTAAAAAATCAATAAATATATTTTTTTAAAATTAGAATTTACACTGTCAATTAGGTCAGGCAATAAAAAAATAAGTGACGTGGTAAGACCTTTGCTTTAAAAAATAGAGCTAACAATAATGTGTTAGATTTCTAGCAGTCATTTTACAAACATTTGATCCCTGCATTTGAGCTCAGAGTTGGGTCACGTTATTATCCCCATCATAATAATAAAGAGCTAATATGCTAAGGGGTGGGATGCTGTAATGTGTAATACTGATCGCAGGAGGTTACCTGCGCGTGCGCAGTGAGGTGTTGCTCTAGAGACCGGGTGGAAGCGGAGAGGCACCGGAGGAGGTGGGACTATCCCATCCCGGGGAGGGCAGGGCTGAGAGCCCATAGCACCCCCCTCACCAGTCCTTCGCCACCACCTGCCAGGGGAAGGAGCACAGCGCAGCAGGCGGAAGGCTTCCACACTCTCCCCTGGTGCCATGATGGGGGTGAGCCACTGTGCTGATCTGGAGACAGGGTGGAAGCTGGAAGGCGCCAGCCTCTGGAGGGACTGAGGGCGGGCTTGAAGTGGCCAGAGAAGGCCAGCTCCAGGCTGGAGCTCTGTGTGGAGTGGTTCAGGTGTCAAGGCAGGGCTGCACAGCACGATTTCACGTACTGGACCCCTAGTTTATAGATGAGGAACTGAGGCTTAGAAAAGTTCATTACTCAAAGTTCTAAGAGAAGTAACCTCAAACCTGAAGTGCCTAACACTGAAGCCAATGCTGTCATCACTCTGCTATTCTGGTTATATTGACACTTGCTGAAGGAGTAAGGAGAATGTAACAGTAGATGAAGGCAGGAAGGATTACATGTTCTGGTGTCAAATCGTGTAAGGGATGCCGATGACTCCTTCATTGCTTCCACTGATCTGTTATAAATGAATCATATAACACATTTCTTCTGTTATTTATTCTGCACATTCTAAAGCCTTTCTCTGTGTATAGTTTTGTTAACAAGCAGTTCTTCTTGTCAGTTCTTTGGGACCAAGTGCATTGAAGGTGATAGAGGCCACAGCATCAGTGAAACGAAAAGAACCTTCCCATAGCTCAGCTCAACCAAAAGAAAAGAAGAAAAAGAAGTCTGCACTGGATGAAATCATGGAGGTACAGTTGATGAACTTTCTGTTTACTCTTTAGCATTGGAGGAATGATGCAGCTTAAACCAAGGAAACAAACTTAAATAGTTTCACCTTTGTTAGGTTACTATAAAATTAAAAAATGTGCACATGCTAGGTTAGGAAAAAGAAACCTAAGTGCAGTTTCACTGGAATAGAATTTCCAAAAGCTTTAGTTTCTTGCTGCAAGTGTTGTCTTCAGAACTCTCCATGCAACTATGTGGAGTTCAAAGAGAAGGACTTCAGTGGTAATGGGAGCTAGACATGAAAGCTCTGTTTCCCTTCGGTGGCTGTGAAATTGGCATCCTCCAAGGATTCTCCCACTAACCTTTGCTCTCCTGTTGTCTTAACTTCCACTTGTTGCCTTTTAGCAAGTAGAAAAGAAGCTGTGACATAACTAGTTTTAATTTGATTTAACCTGATGGCTAAGTTTATTTGGTGAGCTATTGAAAACATAACTATCAGGATCTAGGGCCATACTTTTTACCTGGATTCTAGAGCAATTCTGCAGAAAATTCTTAATGTACTCCTAAATATTCCTTTTGCCCTTCTATGTATCATATGTCTTCTTTTCCCCCCATTGACCTCTCCCTGGCCTCCCCCGTCCCCCTAACACATGCCATCACACCCTCTGCCCTCCCAGTCTGTGTCCATTGGTTATGCTCATATGCATGTATACAAGTCCTTTGGTTGATCTCTTACCCCCTCACCCCCTGCATTTTCTCAAAGGTTGGGCAATCTGTTCAATGCTTCAGTGACTCTGGTTCTATTTTTGTTCATCAGTTTATGTTGTTCATTATATTCCACTAATGAGTGCGATCATGTGATATTTATCTTTCTCTGAATGACTTATTTCGCTTAGCACAATGCTCTCCAGTTCTATCCATGGTGTCGCAAATGGTAAGAATTCCTTCTTTTTTTACTGCAGTATAGTATTCCATTTTGTAGATGTACCACAGTTTTCTAATCCACTCATCTACTGACGGGAACTTGCTAGAAGGCTCTTTCCAAATCTTACCTATTGTAAATTGTGCTGCTATGAACATAGGCTGCATATATCCTTTCTGATTGGTGTTTCTGTTTCCTTGGGATATATTCCTAGAAGTGGGACGACTGTGTCAAATGGAAGTCCCATTTTTAAATTTTTGAGGAAACGCCATACTGTCTTACACCAGTCTGCATCCTCTCCAGCGCTTGTTGGTTGATTTCTTGATGATAGCCATTCTGATTGGTGTGAAATGATACCTCATTGTTGATTTGATTTGTATCTATCAGATGATTAGTGACTTTGAGTATGTTTTCATATGTATCTTGGCCTTCTGTATGTCCTCTTTCAAAAAGTGTCTAATTAGGCCCTTTGCCCATTTTTTGATTGACTTGTTTATTTTCCTTTTGTTAAGTTGTATGAGTTCCCTATAAATTTTGGAGATTAAAGGCTTGTTGAAGATAGCATTGGTAAATATGTTCTCCCCTGTGGTGGGCTTTCTTGTTGTTTTATTGATGGTTTCTTTTGCTCTAGAGCAGGCATCCTCAAACTTTTTAAAGTGGGGGCCAGATCATGGTCCCTCAGAGAGCTGGAGGGCCGGACTATATGAACTACTAATTCCTACTGTAACACCTCGGCTGCGCTCACTGCCCAAAAAACCTGGGGGCCGGATCAGACTCCTCTGCGGGCCGCATGTGGCCCGCGGGCCGTAGTTTGAAGACGCCTGCAGAGGCTTTTTATTTTGATGTAGTCCCATTTGTTTATTTTCTCCTTAGTTTCTATTATCCTAGGAGCCATATCAGTAAAGATATTGCTATGACAAATCAGCTGTATCAGTAAAGATTTTGCTGTCCATGGCTTCTTCTAAGATTTTTATCATTTCCCGTTTTACATTTAAGTCCTTTTTCCATTTTGAGTTTATTTTTGTGTATGGTGTAAGTTGGTGATCTAGTTATTCTTTCTTTCTTTCTTTCTTTCTTTCTTTCTTTCTTTCTTTCTTTCTTTCTTCTTTCTTTCTTTCTTTCTTTCTTTCGTCTTTCTTTTTTTTTATTTTTATGTATGTGTCCAATTTTCCCAACACCATTTATTGAAGAGACTGTCTTGACTCCATTGTATGCCCTTGCCTCCTTTGTCAAATATTAATTGAGCATAATGGCTTGTGTTGATTTCTGGGTTCTCTGTTCTGTTCCATTGGTTTATATGTCTGTTATTGTGGCAGTACCAGGCATTTTTGAAAACTGTGACTTTGTAGTATAGCTTGATATCTGGTACTGTGATCCCTTCAATTTTGTCCTTCTTTCTCAAGATCACTGCAACTATTCGTGGTCTTTCTAAATCCTAGATGAGTTTTTGGAGAGTTTTTTCTAGGGCTTTGAAACGTTGTTGGTATTTTAATGGGGATTGCATTGAATTTATAGATTGCTTTGGGTAGTATGGACATTTTAATGATGTTGACTCTACCAATCCATGAGCATGATATATTTTTCCATTTGGTTATGTCTTCCTCTATCTTTTTTTTCAGCATCCTATAATTTTATGAGTACAAGTCCTTTACCTCCTTAGTTAAATTAATTCCTAGGTATCTTAATTTTTTTTTGTTGCAATGGTAAATGGGATTGATTTTTTAGTTTCTCTTTCTGGAGTTCATTATTGTATAAAAAGCCATAGATTTATGGGTGTTAATTTGTATCCTTAAGTCTAGTAGTTTTATGATGGAATCTTTGGAGTTTGAATACTGTATATGATACTATGTAGTACAATATCATGTCATCTGCAAATAGTGACAATTTTACTTCTTTTTTAATTTGGATGCCTTTTATGTCTTCTTATCTGATTGCTATAGCTAGCACTTCCAGTACTATGTTGAACAGGAGTGGTGAAAGTGGTTATCCCTGTCTTGTTCCTGCTCTTAAGGAAAATGGTTTTAGTTTTTGCTCATTGTGTATTATCTTGGCTATAGGTTTGTCATATAAGGCTTTTAATATATTGAAGTAAGATCCCTTTATTCCCACTTTGCTGAGAGTTTTTATCAGGAAAGGGTGCTGGATTTGTGAAATGCCTTTTCTGCATCAATTAATACAATTATGTGATTTTTGTCTCTCAGTTTGTTTATATGATAGTATCACCTTTATTGATTTTCGGATACTGTACCAGCCTTGCATCCCTGGAATAAATCCCACTTGGTCATAGTGTATGATCTTTCTATTAATGCTAGATCCTATTTGCTAAAATTTTGCCGAGGATTTTAGCATCTATCTTCATCAGGGATATTGGCCTGCAGTTCTCTTTCTTTGTAGTGTCTTTATCTGGTTTTGGAGTTAGAGTAAAGTTGGTTTCATAGAACTGGCTTGGAATGTGCCTTCCTCTTGAGTTTTTTGGAATAGTCTGAGCAGGATAGGTTTTAGTTCTTCTTTGAATGTTTGGTAAACTCCCCTGTGAAGCTGTCTGGCCCTGGGCTTTTGTTTGCTGGGAGTTTTAGACGACTGCTTCAATTTCCTCCTTAGTTATCAACTGTTGAGATTTTTTTATTCTTCTTGATTGAGTTTTGGAAGGTTGTATTTTTCTAGGAATATGTCCATTTCCTCTAGGTTGTCCATTTTGTTGGAATAGAGTTGTTCATAGTATTTTTTTTTTTTTACAATCCTTTTATTTCTGTGGGGTCTGTTGTTATTTCGCCTCTTTCATTTCTGATTTTGTTTAATTTGGTCCTCTTTGTTTCTTGATGAGTCTGGCTAGAGGTTTGTCTATCTTGTTTATCCTTTCAAGGAACCAGCTCTTGGTTTCATTAATCTTGTATTGTTTTTTGGTCTCTGTGTCATTTATTTCTGATCTGATCTTTATTATCTCCTTCTTTCTGCTCACTCGATTTCTCTTGTTGCTCTCTTTCTAATTCTTTAAGTTGTAGAGTTGGATAATTATTACCAGTTTTTCTTTGTGTGTGTGTGTGTGTGTGTGTGTGTGTGTGTGTGTGTGTGTGTGTGTGTGTTTAGATAGGCCTGTAATGCTATGAACTTCCCTCTCAGGGACATAGCTTTCACTGTGTCCCATAGGTTTCTGATTGTTTTGTTTTTATTGTCATTCATTTCTAGGATGTTTTTAATTTCTTCTTTGATCTCTTTGGTAACCCACTCATTGTTGAATAGCATGCTATTCAGCCTCAAAGTGTTTGAGTATTTTTTTGCTTGTTTTTATTGTAGTTGATTTATAATATTATGCCATTGTGGTCTGAGAAGATGTTTGATATAATTTCAATCTTCTTGAATTTGGAGAGACTTTGCCTGTGACCCAATATGTGGTCTATCTTTGAAAATGACCCATGTGCACTTGAGAAGAATATATATTCTGTAACTTTGGGGTGAAATGTTCTGAAGATGTCAGTTAAGTCCATCTGATCTAGTGAGTCACTTAGGATTGCTTTTTCTTTACTCATGTTTTGTCTAGAGTATTTATTCAGTGATGTCTGTGGAGTATTAAAATCCCCTACTATGATTGTATTGCTGTCGATCTCTTCCTTGATATCTTCCAGAAGGTTTTTTTGTTTTGTTTTGTTTTCTACTGTATTTAGGTATTCCTATATTGGGTGCATATATGTTTACCAGAGTTATATCCTCTTGTTGTATCAAACCCTTTAGTATTATGAAGTATGCCTTTTGATCTTTCCATCACCCTTTTATGTACATCTCTCTTGATGATATGTTTCATCCCTTCCCTTTACAAGTTTTATTATTTTTATCAAACAGAGTAGCTCCTTTTTACCATAACACTCTGTACCTAACTATGCTGTGCTATTATAAATTGGTCTATAAGTAGGTTTTTGTTTTTTTTTTAATTTTTTAATATATTTTATTGATTTTTTTTTTACAGAGAGGAAGGGAGAGGGATAGAGAGTCAGAAACATCAGTGAAAGAGAAACATTGATCAGTTGCCTCTTGCACGCCCCCTATCGGGGATGTGCCCGCAACCAAGGCACATGCCCTTGACTGGAATCGAACTTGGGACCCTGCAGTCCGCAGGCCAATGCTTTATCCACTGAGCCTAACCGGTCAGGACTATAAGTGTTTTTACCACATTAAAACATCCTGTTTTCTATTAATAGTTCATGACAGTCACGTGGGAGGAAGCATGGGGAGTGCAGTACTGTAGCGCTGTCAGATTACCTTGCAGTATTTTCTAAGCAGAGGTTGCTTGTGTTTATTTTCTTGGTCAGTTGGAAGCTTTATGACATATTATTTTTAAACCATTTTAAAAAATATCAAAACCCAGTGTCAAAACATGTTACATGCAAATTACATTGTTGATCTTCTGAGAAGTATGTGTTTTCTGTTGTTCTTTTCCTAAATAAAATTTTTTTCATACAAATTGAGGATTTTAAAGAGATTTTTTAAGAGTCTCATGCTCTACCGACTGAGCTAGCCGGGCACCTAAAGAGATTTTTTAATAATTGTCTTGTGTGTTCTACAGATTGAAGAGGAAAAGAAAAGAGCTGCCCGAACAGATTACTGGCTACAGCCTGTATGTATTCAGTTGGAGTGTCTTAAGTTATATATGTAATTTTAAGTGAATGATTTAAGTAGTATTTGGTATAAATGACTAAATTTCTCAACTATATATATAAACTACATAGATAGACATAACTTCAGTGAGCTTTTTTACTCTTTGATCTTTAATTATTGGTTGCACCTGTATTGGAGGGTTACTTGTTGTTTATTAGGCTGGTAATATTTCTTGAGTTTAATGCCAAACTTGTTTATGGCATCTTGAATTTAAGCCTGGAATTATTTCCATTTTAGCCATATGACAAAAGATGGTAGTTTCAGAAATGGAATTAAATAGAATTGTAAATGCAAAAGTACTTGTTATCAACTTACATCTTATTGAACTTAGGATACCCATTTATGTACTTTGTACAGAAAAAAAGAATTTGAATTTTACAACCTCAAGGAAAGTTATATTTTATTGCTTACTTATTGTTTATTATTTTAAGATAATTTTATAACAATTTGTAAACATTTGAATAATTTTTAAATTACTGTCAGTTGATGGTTCTGTTTTGAACTTATTGAAATCATAAAACCTTTAGAGGGCCTTCATTATTCTTAAAGAAGTTGGTTTGATCAATAATAGGAGAGGGGAAAAGTACTGTGCTATTTAGAGAATTTTTGACTTGAAAAATAAGAAAAGTACTAACCTCAGAAGTCAAGAAGTCCAAAGTTCTGATTCAGATCTTCATAGTCATTCTCTCACTAGTTTGGAAATAATTTAGCTTCCATGACTTACTTTATATTTGTGTATAATGGGAAACATTTCTACCTCAGGATCACATGACAGAGGACGAAATAAGATATTTAATACAAAAATATTGTGTTAAATATAAAGTAATAATTTTAGATAAATAATTTCAGTTAATTCTCATATAAGCTCTATAAGGTAATTAATGTTATTATACCATTTTGTAGGTGAGGAAACTGAGGTATAAAGTATTTGAGTAATTTCCTCAGGGTCATTTAGGAAGTGATGAGCCAGGTTTTCCCTGACAATCTGATTCAGTGGGTTGTATTCTCAACTAGTAAATTTCTTTTTCCTGGGAAACTTTAGTCACCCTGACTTTGTGTCTGAGTAGAATCTGGGTCAAAATTATTAGTAAAGGAAGGACCTGAAGGGAAGATACCATGCATGAATTATTTTAGTTTCCTCTATTAAAGTAGCTAGCATTTGAACATTTATGAAAATGTAATCAAGAATTGAGATTAAGCCTAATCCGGTTTGGCTCGGTGGATAGAGCGTCGGCCTGCAGACTGAAGAGGCCCAGGTTCGATTCCGGTCAAGGGCATGTACCTTGGTTGTGAGCACGTCTCTGGTAGGGGGTGTGCAGGAGGCAGCTGGTCGATATTTCTCTCTCATTGATGTTTCTAGCTCTCTATCTCTCTCCTTTCCTCTCTGTAAAAAATTAATAAAATATATTTTTTTTAAAATTGTGATTAAATGCCCTTGCTGGTTTGGCTCAGTAGATAGAAAATCAGCCTGGGACTGAAGGTCCCATGTTCAGTTCCAGTCAAGGGCACATGCCTGTGTTGCGGGCTCAGTCCCCAGTGCGGGGTATGCAGGAGGCAACCAATCAATGATTCTCTCTCATCATTGATGTTTCTATCTTTTCCTCTCCCTTCCTCTCTGAAATCAATAAAAATATATTTTAAAAAATAATTCTGATTAAAGCAGTTATTAACCATTAGTGATTAAGAAATTTTTTTATCCTATGCTTACCTCCATCTCTATAATAGCAAACATCATAGAAAAGTTTATTTTATACAGTCGTCCTCTGGACACAAAAGCTTAGGCTACAATAAGCCATGGGATTTCAAAATACACCTGATTTAGTACTCCCAACATCCAGTATCCTGGTGTGAAATGCACATTTTCACTAATCTCCCAGGTGAATCTTACATGTACCCTTGGTTAAGAACCATTGTTTTAAAGGGAAAAGAAAACAAACTAAAAGAAAAAAGACAAAACATTCCAAAATTAATTAGTCTAAAAATTCTCTTCCTATTGACAAAACTTAAAATTAAATTTTATTTTCTGTTGTTAATTTTCTTATATTGTAAATTCTGGAGCTTTTCTACATAGTTCCTTTTACAGAGTGTTACGTATAAAATGAGAATGACTCGGTGTGTTTCTTATTTTCAAAGGGGCATTATGTTTATTAAAATAGCTAGCAGTTTACAGAAATAGTTCGGAAAACTTTATTTTTTGAACTCAGAAAAGAAAGGTTTTGAACAGATCTATTATAAGTGTCATTAAGTTCAATGATGTAAAGATCTATCTTTAAATGAAGGCCTTCGATTTACCCCAGAAGTCCTCTGGCTGATTCAGAGAAGCTGTTTTAATATTATTTGGTTTCATTTCATTTAGAAAGTCTTAGTAAAATAAAAGCTTAAAAATAAGACCCTTCAAAGCATTCTCTATAGCTCTTTTTTTTCAAGTCTTCTCTTAAACATGTCTTTCTATTATTAAATATCATCCCCCAAGGTCCTTACTGAATTTTTGTTCATACAATTTTTAGTATGGCTTAGTGAAGTACTCAAGACCATCTACCAGGGTGGGGAACATCCAGCCTGCTGGCCATATTAAGTCCTGAGAAATTACATAAGTCCAAGGCATTATGAGTGAGTTAATTAAACCAAATATAGTAGGCTAATTTTTAAGTTGATAATTTTGTATGGCCCTCAAATGATGTTATAAATATCCAATGGCCCTTCACAGAAAAAAGGTTCCCTGAACTAGTACCTCTGTTACTGTTATTTGAAGTAGCAAATATAGAATTACTGTAGTGAATATAGCAATAAGTTACATGGATTAATATTGATTATCAGCCATGACACAGCTAATTCACATCAGGAAATAGCAATGAAGAAGCAAACTCAGAATGCATTAATCTATATATATGAAAGCCTAAGCAACTGGCTGACTGTTTGACCACTCATCTGTTTGCTATGATCACCAGGAGGCAGATGCTCAACAAACAGGCATGGAAACATGAAACAGACTGAGTCTCAGCGGGGAGGGTGGAAAGAGATTAACCAAAGATCTTATATGCATACTAGAGGCCTGGTGCACACATTCTTGCACCAGTGGGGTCCCTCAGCCTGGCTTGCAGGGATCAGTCCAAATCAGTGCATTGGGCCTCTGACATTCCCCAAAGGGTCTCGGATTGTGAGAGGGCAAAGGCCAGGCCAAAGGACCCCCCGAGTGCATGAACCCAGGCACCAGGTCTCTAGTATTAAATAAGCCTGGATTTCTGATACTTTTAATTGGAGCTAATCTTGGAGGGATCTGATGTGTATAAAAAATGAAAGCAACATAATGAGAAAAGAACACTGTACAGTGTCATGTCCTGAGAATTCCCAGCGAGACTCTTGGCATCTGCATTTTTTTTTTCTTTTAAAAAAAATATATTTTATTGATTTTTTACAGAGAGGAGGAGAGAGGGACAGAGAGCCAGAAACATCGATGAGAGAGAAACATCGACCAGCTGCCTCCTGCACACCCCCCACCGGGGATGTGCCCACAACCAATGTACATGCCCTTGACCGGAATTGAACCTGGGACCTCTCAGTCCGCAGTCTGACTCTCTACCACTGAGCCAAACCGGTTTAGGCGGCATCTGCATTTTTATCAGCAGTGAACACCAGCAGTATAATATCCTTAACACTTTCCACTTCCTTAAATGGATAGAGAGAAAGAAGCTGTTTATGAAGGACATGAGTTAATAGAGTTTAGATTTATTTATAAAAGTCCTAGATTTTAAGAAACCTTTGCTATGGAAATCAGCCATTAGATATATATTTTTTCCTCTCGGTAGCTGTATTTAATAAAAAGAGAAAGAAGGAATGAAAGATTACTAAGGAAGTGCCATTGTTGGGAAGGCTTAGAACTCCAAATTTTATTATTTAGCGTAGGGGTGTCAAACTCAATCAGAGAAGGGGCCAAAATCTAAAATCCAGCCTAAATCGTGGGCCGGATGGTTTACTGAACAGTCATAAACTGTCATTGTGATGGAAATGCAGCGGAGTGCAGTGATGACAGCGCGGTGCGGGCCACATTGCAAGGCCTGGCGGGACGGATTTGGCCCGCGGGCCTTGTGTTTGACACATGATTTAGCAGAGTAGTCACATCTTATGATGATTTTTGGTGAACACAGTTTAAAATGAAGGAGTAAAATAGAAAAGATAACTTGTCTTTCCTTTTTTGTTATTTTTAGGAAATAATTGTGAAAATTATAACCAAAAAACTTGGAGAGAAATATCACAAGAAAAAAGGCATTGTTAAGGTAAGAACATGAAGTTAAAAATGGAATTTGTGAAAGGAGTCATGGGTGACTGAGGAAATCCATTTTGGTACTCCTTAAAAATCAAGTCCTAGTAGCAGAATGCATATGTCTAAGGTACGTGATGGTTCTATAAAAGGAAAGATGAATTCATAATCATTGGAGATATAATCCATTGTCAACCATTGTTTATACTTAATCTCTGTTTGCTTTCTTACTGGAGCAAATAGTATGTATCAGATCCCATTGGCACCTCTTAAACTCAGTGTACACACCTTACTAATCTGTAAGATGCATTCTCTTTGTTGATGATGGACAATATAATTGTGCCCCCAGAGTTCCAAGAAGGCCTTTCGTGCGTTTTGCCTTAAGAGATTATCTTTTGATTGCCCTAGGATTTTAAAACTTAAAAATCAACACTCCAGTCCTTTCTTCCCTTTTGTTTTTCCTAAATATAGCTCATTTCAGCAACCAGCCTGTGTGTGCATGCATAAATTGCCCTCCCACTGTCCTTGAAGCTAAGTGAAATTATCCCTCTCACTATACTTCTTAAAATCTTATTCTGAGATCGCCAGTTTTTATTCTTTCCAACCGAAAACCTTAACGTAAGCTTTAAATTGAATTTTTTATTAAAAATCATAGACTTAGGAATAGTAAATGGTTCCTAGAAAATAGTGTTGTTTATAGAAGGAATTACTCTTTTGATTGGAATTTCATTTCTTTTTATTTATTTCTGGTGTGTGTGTGTGTGTTTGTGTGTGTGTGTGTGTGTGTGTTCCACATATCTCTTCTATTATAAAAGTGTTGATTTTACATGACAGGAAGTAATTGACAAATATACAGCTGTTGTAAAGATGATTGACTCTGGAGATAAGCTGAAACTTGACCAGACTCATTTAGAAACAGTAATTCCAGCACCAGGTAAATCTTTTTGCAGACTGTTTAATGCATATGCCATCAATATGAGTGATTCCGTTCATTAACCCAGTTTTCTGACATTACTTGATAGTTATAGATACAAGTTTCCTTTTTAGAAATACTATATAACTGCCAATACATATAACTATATAATTGATGTTTTTTGACTTGGTGTTATCATAGTTTGCCAGTTTTCTGTGAAAGCTTTTTGTATCATGAACAAGTTTTCCCTTCCTGGATTTTTTTTTTCCAGAAGCAAAACACAGACATATCTAGAGAGATTCAATCATATTAGAGTTATCTATATATAAAGCCTAAGTGACCAAATAACTGAGCAACCTAACGACTAGTTGATTGGTCACTATGACATGCACTGACCACCAGGTGGCAGATGCTCAACGTAGGTGGTCAGTGCACTCCCACAGTGGGAGTGCCGCTCAGCTGACCAATGGGCACCAGATGCAGGGCTCATGGCTAGTGAGCTCTGCTTCAAGCCTCTCCAGATCCAGACTGACTGGGCAGGTGCAAGCCTGCAGCAGATATAGTGGGGCCAGAATGAGCAGGAGCAGCCCTTGGTTAGACTGCCAGTTTCAGCCCAAAACCCACAGGCCATGCCGGGGGACCCCACCAGTTTACAAATTTATGCACCAGGCCTCTAGTTATTAATATTTTTATTTAGCTACCTGAAATAGTAAAGTAAAAATCAGTATGAATTTTCTTTTTCTTTTTCTTTAATGATCTTTTTTTTTATTGTTTAAAGTTTTACATATGTCTTCTTTTTCCCCAATTGACACCCACCCTCCCCCAGCTAGTCCCACCCTGGGTAAGCCCCCACCACCCCATTGTCTGTCCATTGGTTATGCTAATATGCATGCATACAAGTCCTTTCTTTAATGATCTTGATCATTTGGGTACTAACACAGTGTCCAATATTAATGCGGTTTGGTCAGGTTGTTGCCTCTGATTTACTTCATGATAATATCATTACTGGCACAGTGATCATGTTAGTCTCTAAAACTTCACTTATCAGATCCTTTATTCTTTCCCTCTAAAATAAAAACTCATTAAAAATCTTTTCCTAATAAACTGAACCTTTAGAAAGTATACAATTCAATATTTCTTAAGATATGAATACTCACATGAAACCAACCCTATAATCAAGATAATGAATGTTTTATCACACTCAACTCCCGTTTTTTTTTTCCTTTGTAATCTACTCATTCCCTTTCACTTCTCTTGCCTCCCATCTCCCCCCAGGCAACCATCAATCTGTTGTTACTGCTGTTTATGTACCATTCATCTGGTGATAGACATTTTGGTTATTTATAATTTTTTAAAATATATTTTGATTTTTTTTACAGAGAGGAAGGGAGAGACAAAGTTAGAAATATTGATGAGAGAGAAACATCAATCAGCTGCCTCTTGCACACCTCCCACTGGGGATGTGCCCACAACCAAGGCACATGCCCTTGACTGGAACCAAACCTGGGACCCCTCAGTCCACAGGTTGAAACTCTATCCAGTGAGCCAAACCGGTTTTGGCTATTTATAATTTTTAATTGTTAAAAACAAAATCCTGTGAACGTTCACATACCAGTCTTTGTATGGACTTATGATTGCTTTGGTTTAGTAACATCGGGCATATATTTTAACTTTAATGTAACTGCCAAACCATCTTTTAAAAGAGATGAATTAAAGGAAACAATTTTTCTTGTACTTACTTATGGACTCTGAGCATTTCTTCCAAATGCCTTATACACCATGCAGTCTAAAAATAAAAATATATTCCTTTGACAAATAAGTGAACAAAATGAGGAGTCAGAAGGTGATAGTAATTAAATTTTCTACAAACTATACTTTAGAATATTATAGAGTTTTTAAATGATTAAGAACTTCTAAGAAAATGGTTTTATTTTTCGTTATGCTCATTCAGTGTAGTTGCATTTTGCTGTGACAAAAGTAGAAGAAAAAAGTGGACATTCTTTTTGCATTCAGTGTTATATTCTTTTCTGTTGTAGGAAAAAGAATTCTTGTTTTAAATGGAGGCTACAGAGGAAATGAAGCTATCTTAGAATCCATCAATGAGAAGACATTTTCAGCTACTATAGTCATTGAAACTGTAAGTATGTTTATGCAGACAGAAATTTCAAAATGCTTTAAAAATGTGTCCTAGTTCTTTTTTATTGGATTGGTCTTTGTTTCATTTTAGAGTTTGGGGTTTTTCTTTACCTTCTCTCCAGTTTAGAAATCTGTAAGCTTATTTTCTCTAATGACTCTACCATTGATAAAGCATTTCATTTTCTGATTCCCAAAGAAATGCCTATATGTCTTAGTCCATTCTGCTGCTGTAACAAAATACCACCAACTGGGTGGCTTATAAACAACAGAAATATACTTCTCACAAGTCTTAAGGGCTAGAAGTCCAAGGTTAAGGCACTGGTCAATTTTGTTGATATTTTAATGGGAAGTGCATTGAATCTATAGATTGCTTTAGGTAGTATGGACATTTTAATGCTGTTGATTCTACCAATCCATGAACATTGTATGTTCTTCCATTTATTTATGTCTTCCTCTATCTTTTCAATGTCTTGTAGTTTCCGAGTACAGGTCTTTTACATCCTTATTTAAGTTTATTCCTAGGTATCTTAATTTTTTTGGTGCATTGGTAAATGGGATTGTTCTTTCTGTGAGTTCATTATGGTGTATAAAAGGCCATTGGTTTCTGGGTGTCAATTTGATATGATTATGTGATTTTTGTCTCTCAATTTGTTTATGCGATGTATCACGTTTGATTTGCGGATACTGTACCAACTTTGCATCCCCAGAATTTCACTTAATCACGGTGTATTATTTTTCTAATGTATTGCTGAATGCAATTTGCTAGAATTTTGTTGAGGATTTTAGCATCTGTGTTCATCAAGGATATTGACCTATAGTACCCTTTTTTGTCTTTTATCTGGTTTTGGGATTAGTGTAATATTGGCTCCATAGAAAGAGCTTGGAAGTGTGCCTTCCTCTTGAAATTTTTGAAATAGTCTGAGGAGAATAGGTTTTAGTTCTTCTTTCAGTGCTTCATAGAACTCCCCTATAAAGTCATCTGGGCCAATGCTTTTGTTTGCTGGAAGATTTTTGATCGCTGTTTTAGTTTCATCGGTATATCAGCCTATTCAGGTTTTTTGATTTTTCTTGGTAGAATTTTGGGAGCTTATATTTTTTTAAGAATATATCAGTGCCAAAACCAGTTTGGCTTACTGGATGGAGCATCAGCCTGCGGACTGTGGGGTCCCAGGTTCAATTCCAGTCAAGGGCATTTACCTTGGTTGCCGGCACATCCCCAGTAGGGGGTGTGCAGGAGACAGCTGGTCGATGTTTCTCTCTCATTGATGTATCTAGCTCTCTATCCCTCTCCCTTCCTCTCTGTAAAAAAATCAATAAAATAAATTTAAAAAGAATATGTACATTACCTCTAAGTTGTCCATTTTGTTGGAATAGAGTTGTCCATAGTATTTTTTCATAATTACCGTATTTTTCGGACCATAAGACGCTCCGGACCATAAGACGCACCAGTTTTTAGAGAAGGGAAATGAAGAAAAAAAGATTCTGAAACAAATAGTGTCCTAAAATATTTTATGTGCATTAAAACCCAACATCACAGTCATAAACACATGTAATCAACCCTGTAAAGAAAACAGCAGCATTTAGAACCATTTTAGAGCCGGGCAAGCACACAGAGACCACACAGAGCCGGGCAAGTAAAAAAACTTTTTTTTTAAAGTATATGTGTAGGCTATATTTGGACCATAAGACACAGGGACTTTTTCCCCCACTTCGGGGGAAAAAAAGTGCGTCTTATGGTCCGAAAAATACGGTATTAGTGTTTCTGTGGGATCAGTTGTTACTTTACCTCTTTCATTTCTGATTTTTTTTTTATTTGGATCCTCTCTCTTTCTTTCTTGGTGACCCTGGCTAGAGGTTCATCAATCTTGAACCAGCTCTTGGTTTTGCTGGTCTTTCTTATTGTTTTTTTGGCCTCTATTGTTTATCTCCTCTCTGATCTTTATTATTTCCTCCTGTTTATACTGGGGTTTTCTTGTTGCTCTTTTTCTAACTCTTCTTGTTGTAGGATTAGATAATTTATTACCATTGTTTCTTGTTTTGAGGTAGGTTTATAGAGCTATGAACTTCCTTCTCAGGACTGCTCTTACTGTGTCCCATAGATTTTAGAATGTTGTGTTTTCTTTGTCATTTGTTGCCATGATGCTTTTTATTTCTTCTTTGATCTCTTTACTAACTCAGTTATTGTTTAATAGCATGCTATTTAGCCTTTAGGTTAGGGGTGTTGAACTCAATCAGAGAAGGGGCCAAAATCTAAAATCCAGCCTAAATCGCGGGCCGAATGGTTTACTGAACAGTCATAAACTGTCATTGTGATGGAAACGCAGCGGAGTGCAGTGATGACAGCGCAGTGCGGGCCACATTGCAAGGCCTGGCGGAACGGATTTGGCCCGCGGGCCTTGTGTTTGACACATGTGCTTTAGGTGTTTGATTTTTTTTTTTGATAGTTTTTATTGTAGTTGATTTCTAGTTTTATGCCATTGTGATCTGAGAAGGTGCTTGATAAGATTTCTATATTCTTAATTTTGAAGAAGCTTTGTCTGTGTCCCTATATTTGGTCTGTCTTTGAAAATGACCCATGTCCACTTGAAAAGAATGCATATTCTGTGGCTTTGGGGTGAAATGTTCTGAAGATGTCATTTAATTCTATATAGTGTGTCATGTAATATTATTGTTTCTTTGCTGATTTTTTTATTTAGATTTGTTGAGTGGTGTTAGAGGGATATTAATCTCCCCTACTATGACTGTATTGCTGTCAGTCTCTCCCTTGAGATCCTCCAGAACTTATTTTATGTAAATGGGTACTCCTGTATGGAGTGTGTGTATGTTTATCAGAGTTATATCTTCTTTTTAGATTGCTCCCTTTAGTATTATGAAGTGGCCTTCCTTATCTCTTCATATGTCATTCACTTTGAGATCTAATTTGCCAGATGTAAGAATTGCTACCCCAGCTTTTCTTTCATTTCCATTCATCTAAAAAAACCTTTTTCCATTCCTTCACCATCAATCTTTGTGAGTTCCTTTTTTTCTGATGTCCTTTTCAGAGTCCTTTTTCAGATAAACAGCAGATATATAGGTTATGTTCTTTTATCCACTCAGCTGTCCTATGCCTTTTGATTGGGACATTTAATCCATTTACATTTAAAGTTATTTTTTATAAGTACTTGTTTGTCACCATTTTTATCTTTTACCCTTGTATTCCTTCTTCGCTTCCTATTTCTTCTTTTAACATCAGACCCTTTAACATTTTTTATATTTCTGGTTTTGTGGTAATAAACTCCCTTAGTCCTTTTTTGTCTGTGAAGCTGCTGATTTCATCTTCAATTTTGATTGATAGTCTTGCTGGGTACAGTATTCTTGGATTCAGACCCTTCCTTTGCATGCCTTTGTATATTTAATTCCATTTCCTTTTGGCCTAATGTGTTTCTGTTGAGAAATTAGTCACTAGTCTAATGGGGATCATTTGTAGGTAACTTTCTATCTCTCTCTGGCCACTTTTAAGATTTTTACTTTGTCGTTGGTGTTTGCCAGTTTAATTATAATGTGCCTTGGTGTCGGTCTTTTGGGTTTCATTTTGTTTGGGACTCTGTGAGCTTCTTGGACTTGTGTGAGTTTTTTCTTCCTATATCAGGGAAGTTTTCTGTCATTATTTCCTCAAACAGGTTTTCTCTTCCTTGCTCAGATTCTTCTCCCTCCTACTCCCTATTATGTGGATGTTGTTTTGTTTCATGTTGTCCCAAAGTTTCCTTAGGCTCTCCTCCTGTTTTTTAAATTTTGTTTCTAGATGCTGCTTTGCTTGGGTATTTTTTCCTACCTTGTTTTCTAGCTCACTGATGCGGTCCTCCACTTCTTTTAGTCTACTGGTGATGCTCTTTATTGCCATGATGTCATTTTTCATTTCTTATTGGTTCTTTTTCATTTCCTCCTGATTCTTACACATATTGTTGAATTTGTTTCCAAACCTTTTCAGCAATTTTATGACCATTTTTCTGAGTTCTTTCTCTGACATATTGCTTGCCTCCATTTTATTTACTTCCTTTCCTGGTGATGCCTCCTTTTCTTTCATATGTGGGCTGTTTCTTTGTCTCCCGATGATCTCTCCTCTCCGGGTGCCTGGCTATATAGCTCTTACTCTCCTGTGTTGGCTTAAAGGCACAAAATACAACACACCAAGGCACAACGTACAAGGCCCTGAACACAAATGTACTCACTATACTAATAACCCCAAAAAAGGTGACCACTAGAGAAAAGAGAATTAGGGGATTAAAAAAGGACAGGGTGCAAAAATGATATTGAGGAAAGGATAAAAGTAAGACAGAAAAGAGACTAAAAAAGAAGGGGGGAAAACTATATATGGGGAGAAAACTCAATAGAACAAGAACTAATCCAAAGAATTGCAAAAAACTGACACCCAAAGGTGAATGCAAACTACAAACAAGTAATAACAAGCGAGGAAAGGAAACACAGAAGGAAAAAAAAGAGACAAATAATCACACAAATAAACAAAAAGCAATAATCTAATTAACAATCAAACAACAATTGCACAGAGAGAAAAAAACAGTAAAACCAAACAAAATAAAACAGAGAACATAAAAGAAAATAACAAAACAAAACAACAAACCAAAAAAAAGAGGAAAGAAAAATATTTTTTTTTATAGTGAAGAAAAAGAAGAGAGAAGTGTGTATGGACTTAGAGCAGGTGATCAGAAATTAGATTTATAAGTAGGATGAATTGTTAACAGGGGTTAAAAAGAAAAATCTAAAGCAGGAATAGGGTAAGAGAAACAGGACAACAAAAGGGGAAAAATGAGGAAGATAGTGTTGGCATAAAGTAAAAGTCGAGATAGAGTAAAATGATACTAAAGGAAAAATGAAAATAGAATGTAAAACATTAATCCTGAAATAAAATAAAACTTAAAAAAAAGGTAAAATAATACTAGTAATAATACTGATTAAAAATAAAAATATAATTTTTTAAATCTTTATTGTTCAGATTATTACAAA